GATGGTGATAATGACAGAGTCCAACAGCATCCCCAGTCAAGGTGATGAGCCTGATCCTGGGAGTCCAGTTGGGAAGGAACAGCAGGACAGGGCTTAGAAATAGGACTATGTCATAAATCTAATGTCATTCCAAGGGACATGATATAAGGCTACCACCTTTGTCAGTCTGGAGTCCCTTTAGCAAAACCAGTCTCTAAATCTGCACAGCTGGGGACAGGCACTACTGCAGCTTAGGCAGGGACTGAAGGCTCAGGCAAGAGCTGAAATTGAGCTGCTGAGAGAATGAGCATAGACATGTGCACGGAGGTCACAGGTGAGACTGGTCAGGACTCAGGGCTCATTGTTACCAGTTTAGGCTTGTCAGAGCACTCAGAGCCTTGACAGAAGTGCCTGAAGGCAGTTCATTCAGAGGTACAATCTGACCTCTTAGAGGAATGTCCTTGATTGGTAAGAGTTGTTTTTGTGTTGTTGAGGTAGATGTGTAACTCTTAGGACATTCACACAAGGATTATAAATTAAAGCCTCGCAACAACATTATCAAAAACCTAAACACCCTAAACATAAACATCTCAGACCACCCAGCTTGAAGAAGGAAAACTATTTTTATTCACATGGTGAAACCTGCTCCTCAGGAAAGACCTACAAAGACAAACCTGGGAACCCAAAATGCCAATTCCAGTCAGTATTCAAAACTGTGGACTCAGTATTTGATCAGGAAAAGTTTTATGAGCACTGCAGTTTTCTGTACATCTCATCAGCTGGTATCCCATTGTTGTGCCATGGAAGTTCACTTCTATAATCTCTCATCTCTCCTAGCTGACATACTTGATGAGCTGTCTTGCTCTCTGAAGGAATGTTAATTTAAGTTACAACCAGAGCAGTCACTCCCAGGCTGTACTTGGCTTGGTGTTTGCTCTGTACAGGTCCCACTTTTAAATTAGTTTTTATTCTCCACCCCTAAATGTCTTATTCCAAACATAATAGATGACACTTTGCTTCACATCCCATGTAATTTTTATATTCTTAGATGTTGGAGTTAGAGCAACACTGCTAGTTTACAGCAAAGTATTTCAATCAGGAAAAGACAGGAACATGCAATGGGTTTTGCTGAAATACTAGCAAGAACAGCTTTAATCCGTGCTTCTTTGCAATGTAAAATTAACACCTGAGCTTTGTAGAAGGAGAGATAAGAACACAAGTTGATCAAAATGTCAATCTCCTTAATCCAGACCGTTAGCAAATCTGGGATTCTTCATGCCTTTTTTTTTAAGTAAGGAATTAAGTTCTAAATTATATTTACACAACCATGATTAGCCGTATTTTTTTTAAGAAGCAGTGGCCACATGAAGCATCAGTACCTTACAGTGTTCATTGCTAAACTATCCTGATTTTCTTACCAATCTGTTGGCTTGGCTTTGCATTATGACAATTTCATCAGCTCAAAAAGAGCCTGAGCCCTAATTCTGGCCTTTGCGGGTCATGCATGACTGCTGCTGTTGCAAGGAGTATTTTGCCCTCTTGTATTTGTACTGGAGCTGAGGCTGGCTTGTGCTCACTGATTTTTTAAATTTTTGCTTTCAGTATTGATGGTCTTAAAATGCTTTCATCCACTTCAACTGAATCCTTTTTTCCAGGTAGTAATTATGAGTGATGTATTTTAGGCCAATACTGCAGATATGTCTGTTGTTGCTATGAAAATGCAAGTGATCTAGGTCACTGCTGCAATATGCTGCAATGTGAGTCTCCATTTTGTAAATGTTTTACATTCCAGAGGATTTACTTCTGTTTCTGCTCAAATCTACCATAATAGTAAGACGAAGTATTTATACTGGAATTAGTTTGGTCAGGCCATCATTTTGTTTGACAAATTGGGTCACCTTTAAGGGAATTAACAGTTTGTGAGCTGCAAACTCCTTTGGGGTTTTGATACACTGCTCATTGTGAGTGCCTTGATATTGGCACACATGGCCAATACTGTAGCAATGACACAAAGCAGCTGGAAAGCACATTCTCCTCAACCAGCCAGGGTGAAATATCAGACTTTGGTCCTGAACTGAAAAAATGTGCTGCAGGACTCAAGAAGGGAAAAATCAGTATCACAAGAAGCTGTTTTCCATCAGTAACACTTGGTACTTTGAGACAACTATTCCAAATATCCGAACTTCTCACTGTGGCTGCCTGTACATCCATCCTCTCTTATTCTCACTTTTTTCATTTAAGTCTTTTGCTGACACAAATTCCTGGAAATCCTCTGAGGTTAAATGACAGCAGTCTTTTTTGACACCTAATGAGGGGGCTCAAAGGGTTTGCGATAACGACTGATTTCATTGGAATGTGTGAGATTGAATTAATAGCTCTTCTTGCTATTTAGCTATTGATTGACAGACCCCTGTGCTGGCTTGCCTGACTGTATATTAGAGCCCAGTGCTCATTAATGGCTGCTTTTTACTTTTGCTACTTGCTGTAGTGTTTTGCTGGCTGTCGTCTGGCTCTGCTGTGCCTGGGAACAGTTTGATAGCAGCAATGGAAATGTGTCTGGGCTGGCAGATGGCCTGAGCATCATTGCTCTCTGTATGGCTGTGCTGGACGGGCTGGATCTCCAGTGGGAACTCGGATTGAGGGGACTGTGACCTGTGGATGAATCCATTCAAGATCAGGACACCCCAAAACACCTGTGACCGTGGCCAAGTGCCCAGCAGAACATATCTCGAAGCCTCTCTGGCAGTGATTATAGAAGGGATTGTGGCCAATGCTGGAGCAGGTACACTTCAAAGCATCTGTGGCTGTGGATGATGCACATCAACTTGTGAATGCACAGTTTATATAATCTGATACCTGAAATTAAATTTGAAGTAATTGCAAAGATTTTCCTGTGCTTTATAGACATAACCTAGAAATGAAGTGCCAACAGGGAATAGTGTAACTTTCACAGTTTGTACTTCTCTTATGGCACAAATTACCAGGTGATGTTTCTTTTTCAACTCTTTAAATTACTGCTTGACATAAAAAAAGCATTTAGGCACTTAAGGCTTGATTTATAAAACTTCTGGTTACTTTCATGCATGTTCAGTGCATCGTTTGCTTGGTAAAATAGAACTTTGATCTCATGAGTAATAAATGGAATTAAAGATGTGAAAAAACTGTGGTATTCTCAGAATGAATGGGTAGATTGCACTGCAATATATTTTATTCAAATAGATATAGTGGCAGCATTTTACATGTGAAGTGCAGATGCTACAGGTGTCTGGAAGAATGTCAATCAGATTGACAAAAATACTCTGGATACAGGATCCTTTTAAAATCAGTGTTTGGTCTGATCAGGCACTTCCAGGGTATTCACATTGAAGTTCTTGCTAGGTGATTTTTTAGATTGTTAAATAAACTAGTGCCAAGGAATAAACTAGTGCCAAGGTACTACTTCTAGCATGTAATTAATTTGTGGGAAAGGGGTGAATATTATTTTTTACTGCTTCCTCTTCTGTAATAGCAAGGAGGCCAAACAAACAGAACAGAGGGCAAATCATTTTAGGTACCATATAAACATGACGAAAGCACAGCTAACAACCGAAAGATTTACAACAGAAATAAGAGCTAAGAGATAGTAGGGTAATAAAAATTTCAGGTTGACAGCGTACAAAGGTTAGGATTAGTGCATTAAGTGATAGGTGTGCTGGAATCCTAAGCACCTTTTTGTTGAAACCCAGTGTTAAACCAGGATATGAAGATGGGCAGTGTAATGGGAGGTGGAATTTGTGTGGACTTTTCTAAAGGTTGTATGAGAGAACATGGAGAAGTTATTGAGCTGACCTGGCAAGCAGCTTAGATCTGCACAGCTGGCAGACACTTCCAAATAGGTGGTCTCATTCCTTATTTTCCATAGAGGGAGTGTGTACAGAGCATCCCACATCCAGATTTCTGCACTGTAGACGTCATATTGTGGGAGCAAATGTGGGAAGTACTCAGTGGGAAGTACTTACCATTAATCATCCATCCTTTTTGATGGTGATTTGCAGTGTGTATGAACTCTGAGCTGTTGGAACTATGGATGCAGCCTGATAGTGATATGATACAAACATTCTGTTTCATACCCGTAGCAAACATGAATAAGAAAAGTGATTTTTTTCCTTGATCATATTTCTTATTATCATAAAGTATTCTACTCACTGCTAAATTAAAATTGTGTATTTTTGAATCAGGACTGGATGATCACCTAATGGTTTGGAAAATTCTCAAGGAGAACTCAGTGGTTCTTTTGCAAAGTTAAGGCACACTTAAAAGAATATTGTGCCAGTATTAGAGTAGTGCCAGCATTTTGACTTCTTCTCAAATTATTACCTAACTTTTTGCTCCCAGGAGGTAAAAGCCTTAATATTTTTATGCAAAGAATCAATCCTTATTCCTGTTTCTGGCAATGAAGGTAGGAATGAAGAAAATAACATAATCAGAGAGAAAAAGTTAAATTCAGCTCATTATGATTTTTTCCCACCTCTTCTACTGCTCTTTCCATCCATATTTGGAACACCTAGAAAATTTTACAAGAATTTTGAGGCAAAAATTTCTCTGCTGAGCCAAATTACCAACAACACCACCATTTTTGTATATTTTTCAAGCTCAAAGCAATGTCAGTTCATACTGCATATTCCCCCAAATATTCAAAAATAGAGCCACATTGGGAGCATTAAAGTAACACTAGGAAATCTTTTAGTGTATTTTGCAATACTTTTGCCTTTCATCATTAACTGCTGTGAGTTGTTGTAACCATTCTGAGAAAGAAAGGGTTTGTTAGGCATAAACACTACGATTATAATGAGAGTGATTGCCTTTAAGGAAAGATGAGACTGTACTGATTCAGGCTGTTCCTCATCCTATGTCCAGTCACAAATGACAAGAACATTGTTTTTGATCTTTTATGAATCTCATATTTGTAATGCACAAATTGATTTTTAGTTGGGGAACGATTCATTTCAGAGTACTGGTTGAACTTGGAGTGAATTTATTGTCTAAAGAAGTATGCAGTCAGGAGCACTACCATGCTGTCCTGTAATTGAAAACAAAAGATATTTAACATTAGAGATTCAGTTTTACCTTCAGGATTTTTGCACAAACAGCAGCTAATGGAAAGGTATTCCGATGCTCTTGGCATTCCTGTGAGGATGCTTACTCATACTGTGTTCTGTAACTCATGCCTGAACTGTGTCCATTGATGTTGAATGCAAACTGCTTTTTTGGCACCACCTTACTTTGCTCCTAGATATCTCTGCTTTGAGGCAAGAACTCATCTAGAGAAAGGCCACAGCAGTACCACAGATCCCTTTCAGCCTCATTATGGCCTTTGGAACAGGGTGGTGTGCCTTGGTGTTGGGCAGTGTTTCTGTCCCAAGTCATTTCCAAGAAAAGAATTTGAAATCTTGGTAGATAAGTAGATCCAGGTGATCTTCTAATGTGAGGCAGTCACTGAAATGTTAGATGCACTCCTTAACCAGCCTTAGTAGACAAGGTGCTTCCTTTTCCCTATAGAAAGTCTTGCAATGTTAGCACAACCGGGTCAATTTAGATGGATCCTTCCTTTGTAATTCAGCAAAACAGTGAGGCACTACTTCCTACCATAGCCTCATGCTTAGTAGCTGTTATGCTACAAAAATATATCTAAACCTTCCAAATTCCATTTATGAATTTGGGTCACCACTGTCATTGAATACTATGTGTTAATGAATTCCATAACTGAATTTCTTACTGTGTAAAAATGTACCTAATTCTTCTTTTAAAATGTTCCACAATGTTTTACTGGGAGTGTGTTTCTTTTTGAAATGCAAGAAATAGTGATTCTCTCACTGCCCACAGTACAGCAGCTCTGTCAGATCATTTCATGTGGCCAAGTAGAAGACCTCTAATGTTTTCTGTTTTCCTGATGTGGATAGACTTCCATATTTTTCTATACACCTGAGCAGCCTGCTGCTTCTCTCTATGATTCCTGTTTTATTGTCTGTAAACTTTAGGGCTGAGAAAAAACAGTAACAATTTTCACCCCTTAATAATTTTCCTCAGCCTTCTCCAACAAGGAGTGATTACCTGTAGCTTGTGATGGTTCTTGCAGTAAAAATAGCCAAACCAGAAAATATTTTCTATAGTCCTTTGCTAACATTTTTACTCTAACGTGAATCCCAAATAATTCCATTGATGTCAATGGTGCTACTTCATAGTGGCATTTTGGAAACTGAAAACACCATAATGAGAGCCATTAAGAGCATCCTGTATGAGGCAGGTTTTGTTGAAGATAATTATTTTATTAAAAAAAACAAAAAAGAAAATTATATATTCATATGCTTTAAATTTGAAGATGAAAGATTTGGGATTAAATTTGCAGTTTACACTGTGAAGAAAAATTCAAGAGGACATCACGGGGGTAGAGCATATTTACACTTTTTGTAGTTCTTCAGGTCATTCCCCTCACATATCTATGAACATTTATATGTAACACCTTCAATAAACATTGCTAAGACTGCTGATATAATTAATTTTATTTTTCTGAGATTGTATTTCTTTCTGGTAATTTGATGAGGCCCTAGCAATCAGGGAGAGTGAAAGCTGTACCTCAGGGGGTTTTGTGTTAAAAATCAAATTTAATTATGTTTACCATATAACTTCTGAATTCTTCGCTTGTCCTCTTCTGGAAGTGTGAAAGTTTTCGGGTTCTGATATGAGTAGTAAGGGTACATGAGAGATCCACGGTCACTGGAATGGGTGAGTCCCAAAGAATGGCCAAATTCATGAGCAGCAACGAGGAACAAATTGATATCTGCAACATAGAAACACATAAATGGATGTTAAAGTTATGAAATACAATTGATTTACAATTGACTTTTTACAATTGCTTCAAATGACTTTTTAAAATACAATAAATTGAAAGTGCAGGAGAATTTATGTATTTCAATCCATCTTGGAATGAGACCCCAGGCTTTTGATCCATTATTGTTGAGCTTTTACATATAGCTGTAATATTTTATAAAAAAAATCTACTGATTCCTTGCATATGTATTTAGAGACCCTGAGTCTCTTTTGGATTCTACTTTTGGTCAACCTCATTCCTAGAAGCAAGTCAATCTACCTGTTCAAAATTTATGTAGGAAACAGGGGCTCACAGTCTGTGTTTAGCCTGCAAAAAGTGCTTTAAATGATGGACAGAACAGACATTATGCAGGTGTTCATGGTAATGAAGCACTAGTAGTTATAAAGGTAGTTGAAAAGGATAGAAATATTAGTACTGAAGTAGCACTGAAGGATGAAGAGGAATGGAAAGCAGTTCCTGTGGCTGTGTTCTTCCAACATGTACAATATTTGCTTTCCCCTTTCATCTACACATGTGAGCTTTACCTTGATTGACATCTGACCATTTCTCATCATCATCAAAATGAGCATCTCCACTCCGCCTTTTTCCAGGTAGAAATGCATGGGCCAGTATTTTACCTCTTCCATCGAAAGGAGATCTGGAATATGACAGCACAAAGCAGGAGGTAGTGCACGGTGCCCATCTTGATGAGGAGCCTTGCTGGAGAAGAAAGAGTTTTACTTTCTGTCTCCCAAGACCAGCGCTAAAACCCTTATATAGATCCTGACAGTGCCAATCAGCAATTTTATATGTGACTCACTTTCTAAATTCCTTGTATAAATTTGTGTCACCATTTCCATTGAATATGCTTTGATTGAATTTCAGAGTTGTCTTGCTTGCTACGTGATAATATATCCTTCTTCTTTGAAAATCTTCCGCAAGATTTTCTTGGGATAGTCTTTTTTTTTGAGTTGCAAGAAATAGTGACTCTCTCGCTGCCCACAGTACAGCAGCTCTGTCAGATCATTTCATGTGGCCAAGTAGAAGACCTCTAATGTTTTCTGTTTTCCTGATGTGCATATTTTTCCTGTGTATATTGTTCTGTACACTTGAGCAGCCTGCTGCTTCTCTCTATGATTTTTGTTTTATTGTCTGTTAACTTTACTTTTAGGGCTGAGAGAAAACAGTAACAATTTTTACCCCTTAATAATTTTCCTCAGCCTTCTTCAACAAAGAGTGATTACCTGGCTTGTGGTGGTTCCTGCTGTAAAAAATAGCCAAAATAGATAATATTTTCTCTAGTCCTTTGCTGACATTTTTACTCTAAGAGATGAATCCCAAATAATTCCATTGATGTTAATGGAGCCACTTCATAGAGGCATTGCTGAAACTGAAAAAAAGCATAATGATGCCATTAAGAGCATTCTGTTTTGTTGAAGATATAATTTTGAAAAAATAAAAAAGAATAATATCTATTCATATGCTTTAAATTAGAAGATGAAAGATTTGGCATTAAATTTGCAGTTTACACTGTGAAGAAAAATTCAAGAGGATATCACTGGGGACGGACACACTTGCATTTTTTCATCTCATCAGGTCTTTCCCATCCCATATCTGTGAACTTTTCATGTGTAGCAGCTTTAATAAGCATTGCTAAGGCTGATGATATAATTAATTTTCTTTTTCTGAGATCTTATTCCCTTGTTAATACCAGGTATAGCAGGTATTGATTTTGCCCTCTCAGAATATCAGTCCATGTTGATGGAGTGGGCTCAGGGTACGTAAGTGATTGGGTAAGTTGCCAAAATAGCTTTTCTAGATAGTGCAGGAGTAGAGCTTATCCTTTAAACATGCATGGTCAAAGGACCCATGAGAAATGTTAAGACATTTGAGAATTCATTTGCTGCTTGTTGTACTATCTGGAACAGCAAAGAAGAATTTAAAAATCATTTTATTTAAAAGAACAGTAGTGAAAGCAAGATTCAAATTCCCAACGAACCAAAATATGTTGTGGTTAGCCATTTCTTCTTTGGTATGGAAAAGAAGGGACAAGTTGCTATTTGAGTAACCTAAGGTGCCTAGATGTGTGTTTGAGAGAGCATGTAAAAGCTGACACGGAATGCAGTGGGATAAAGGGAAGAAAGAAGGTTGCTGGATTTGCTGTTGTCTCTGCTTTCCCCCAGCGATGGTGTGTGTGGTAGCGCCTGCCCAGCTGTGTGCTGGCAGACAAGGCACACTTTACACCAGGGGCAAAGCCAGAGCAGTTTGCCGAGCGGTGCCACTAGGCGGAGGCAAATGCTGCGCAGTTCCCCTCTGCTGAGCAGGGTTCGGTGTGCCGATGGCAGCGCTTTTCCCCAAAGGAGAGGTCCCTTATGGGGATGGAAAGGCAACAGGAGCTCAACAGGCAGTAAAATGCTTCTGGCAGCCTCGTCAGTGGCTGTCTCTAAGGTCAAAATTCCTGGCTTCTATTTTATTTCACTTGCTGTGGTGATGCTAACTGGGGGCTGCTGCCTCTCTTGAGATGGATCCTTCAAGACACAAGGGTGCCTCACTGCCACCAGTGCTGGCCCTACTGCAGGCCAGTCACCTCATGTGGTCGCAGGAAGCTGTCTCTCAGATGCATCCCATTGCCAGGATAGTATTCCTAGCAATACACTTCTGGGTTCTACTGCATTTGTCTCAATTCATAAGGATGTTAATTTTACACTAGAAAACAAACCAGCTGCTTTCAGTCAAATGTTTGTTCTCCTGGCTTCATTTGATAGAGTCTCTTTTCCAGCACTGTACATGAATTGTTCTGTGTGGCCTTAGGAGTGTTTTTTTCTGGAGAGTCTTTGATAAAGCCTGTTTTCCATGGCTGTTTTCTCTTTATAAAGCTTTAGCAAGTGACTTGAGCTTAATAGAGATCATGGTGTGTCTCTGTTTTGTGTTTGGTTCCCTGTGGGGACTTTGGCCAAGGGAACAGAGGGTATTTTCTGTCAATCTTGCATCTTTCCAGGTCAACCCATTTGGACTGAGCATCCACATAGCCTAGAGAGCTCTTCTTCATAGCCTTTAATACAGATTGGATCTGTATTAAGGCTATTTATCTCTCTATTCTGGGTCTTCAAGTTTTTTCTCACCTGAAGACAGCTGTGCCCCCAGAATAATATCCACACTTAGCACCAGCTACTTCATCTTTGAGCTTTGTGTGGAAGAAATGGCTGATTACTGACGGGAGCATTTTCAAACTAATGTTGATATTGCACTGATCCTTTGGTATTTGCTCAGCAGCCTTTACATTCAGTGGGGACTCTTCAGCTTCTCACAGCAGCCCAGCCCTGAGCAGGCTGGGGGGCATAAGAAGCTGGAAGGGGACACAGCTGGGACCCAAATTGGCCAAGGGATATTCCATACCATAGGATGTCATATTCGGTGTAAAAACTAGAGGGAAAGCTGGCCAGAGGTTTCTTCTTGTGCACTGCCTGGGTGCTGGTCTGTGGGTGGTGAATAACTGCATTGTTCATAATTTGCTTTGTATATCCTATTCCTATTTCTCTTCCTCTTCTTCCTCTTCTTCTTCTTTGTCTTCTTCTTTGTCATCTTTGTCTTCATCTTTGTCTTCTTCATCTTCATCTTCTGCTTCTTGCTCCTATTTTTCTTTCTCTTCTTCTTCTTTCTCCCCTTCTTCTTCCTCCTCTTCTTCCTCTTCTTGTTCTTGTTCTTCTTCCTTCTTCTTCATCCTCCTCTTCTTCTTCATATTCTTCTCCCTTGACATTTCTTCTACTTTCTTTTGCTTTCTTCTATTTGTGTTGACTATTTATTTTTATTTCCCCTTCCTTTTCTGTCTTATTGAATTGCCTTTGTCTCCACCCATGTATTTTACCTTCTTTTCTGCATTTCTCTCCACATCCCACTGAGGGGTGCATAGTGAGTGTGGTGCTTGGTTACCTGTTGGGTTGAACGGTGTCAGTCCTTTTTGGACCACGCAACATGAGGCAGGAAGGATTGAGATAAAAACAGATCTGACCAGAGCATGTTAAACCAAATTTTTTATAAGTATCCACAGTATTAGTTCAATAGTCACTGGTCAGAGTGTTGATATATTTGCTCTCAGAGGTGTTGTGTGTTCTCGGAGTTTTGTAGTGTGAGCAACATATTCCCTGCTGTGAGCACCACATTCCCTCTGGGGGCTGGCTGAAGGTCGTTCCTTGTACTGGGTAACACTGGTTTAGGAGATGGTGAAGATGCTGGGAGTGACACTGAGCTGGTGTTTGTGCTCCTCATCTCTGTGCACAGGGAGCCATCTGTTGGAAACTATTCATAAATACACCGTCTACCTTGTGGTTTTTGAAGACTTTGAATGTCCTTGGGAGCGTCCCTGGGGTTTTTTCGTTGTTGTTGTTGTTTCTTTCTTTCTTTCTTTCTTTCTTTCTTTTTTTTTCTTTTATTTTTTATTATTTTTTTTAATCCATTAAAAAACACTCAAGGAAGCTTGGCACAAAGGATCATGGGAATGCCAGTGCACTGCTTCTCGAACCTGCTTCTCTGGAGAGTTGGGGAGGACATGATGATGAAAAGCTTTTCCCTTTGGGAAAACATCCCAGCCCATACTGAAGGAAGCACTGTGGAGACCTCCTGTATGTGAGAGCCATATGGGAAGCTCACTGATTCTGAGGAGTCAATACTGTGAAGTGGCAGGACGGGCATGGGAATTGAAACAGATTCATGAGCAGCAACGAGGAACAAATTGACATCTGCAGCATAGAAACACATAAATAGATGTTAAAGGTATAGCATTTCTTTTTGAAATACAATTAATTGAAAGTGCAGGAGAATTTATCTATTTCAATCTGTCTTGGTATGATACCCCAGAATTTTTATCCATTATCATTAAGCTTTCATATATTACAGTAATATTTTATTAAACATCTCCTGAGTCCTTGCATATGGTCGACCTCATTCCTAGAAGCAAGTCAATTTATGTGTTCACAATTTATGTAGGAAACAGGGACTCACAGTCCATGTTTAGCCTGCAAAAAGTGCTTTAAATGATGGACAGAACAGACATTATGTAGGTGTTTATGGTGATGAAGCACCAGTAGTTATAAAGGTAACTTTAAAAGGTATAGTTATATATATATATAGTTATATAGTTACATATATATAGTTATAAAGGTAACTTTGAAAAGGGTAGAAATGTTAGTACTGAAGTAGCACTGAAGGATGAAGAGGAATGGAAAGCAGTTCCTGTGGCTGTGTTCTTTCAACATGTACAATATTTGCTTTCCCCTTTCATCTACACATGTGAGCTTTACCTTGATTGATATCTGACCATTTCTCATCATCATCAAAATGAGCATCTCCACCAATCCCATCTCCAGGTGCGAATGCATGGGCCAGCGTGCCACCTCTTCCATCGAAAGGAGATCCATCACCATGCGCTGCATTTGAAATAAATCAATGTAATCAGATGAGATCAGTTGTCATATTTAATGAGATCGGTTGTCATATTTAACTTCAGCAAGTAGAATCATGCTGTTGGTTTGTGCTAGTTTTGTTGGTTGCCAGTCCTCAAAAAAATCTTACAATGGCAGCAAGGTTGTGAAAATGAGAAGTGAGGCTTAGGGAAACACTCTCCATATTAATGACTGAAGTTCAAATCTTGTCTTTGATAGTTTGGTCTGCTGCATGTTTTAGGAAGAGCTGAATATATTTTGCCTGAGCTTTTGTCAGAAGTGTGGTCCTGAGGCTGCATTCAGGGATGATTTCAGAATGAGTAGTTAATGCTTGACAACACTATTGTTAATGTCTGAATGTGTTTGATGTTAAAAAGTGCAGGGCAATATTAGTTGCAGACATTCTCATTTGCACTGCTTTCAGTGTGGATGGTGATTTGGGATAGATAACCATGTTTCTGAAGAGATAAATTCATTTATTCTCAGCCTTGAGGTATGGTCTATTATCTACTTCTGTCATAGTGCAGATGTTTACTACCTCAAGTGTAAGAGTTAGATAAGAGTTGAACCAACTCGGAAATTTCTGTCTCCCTCATCATGAATGTCATCAGGCATACCACATCTGGGCATTGTCATTATTTCTTCAGTTTCTTTGTCTAATTTTCCAGTTACAGTCAGGTGGAAAAACTTCTGCATTTCTTTAATCCTTTCTTCTATGCTTAGGTGTTGTGTTTTTGACAAAATTGGAAAGAATGTATCAAGATATCTCTAGAGGAAGAGAGGGAAAATAAAGATTAATACGTGTATCTGTGATGTTTTGGTAATTGCATTTTACATTTGTTTGAATTGTTTCATCATTCTGCATCATCCATATCTAGTTTTACTTGTATCTTTCCACTTCAGTTTACCAAATTCTGCTCTCTCAGTAGTAGAGATCAGCATATCTAAAAAGAATTGTAACAGCAATGAAACACTGTAAGTAAGAAACCCTGTCAAGTAACCACCATTTACTGAGCATTCAAATCTACAGCCTTCTAACACAGTACACATAAAATATTGGACTTATTTTTAAAATTACATGCTCCCCTTTATTTACCAGCTGGAACTTGGTCTCTTTTTTATGTCAGCCTTCAGAGGTTTTACCTAGTGAGCACGTTTAAAATGTTTTAAATCACATGTGCAAAAACTGTTGTAATGTGAGACAGGGACAATATGAACAGGTCGGAAAGGAATGTAGAAATGGAATCAAAAATCAGATTATTCATAATGTAGTTTTGTTTCTCCCCTTGTAACATACCTTTACTTTTTCCAGATCTATGCTGCTCCATGATGCTGGTCTCAGTTGTATTGGAAAAGCAGGAGTCTCAGGCAGGAAGATGACAGCACAAAGCAGGAGGTAGTGCACGGTGCCCATCTTGATGAGGAACCTTGCTGGTGCAGAAAGGGTTTGGCTTTCTGTCTCCCAAGACCAGAGCTAAAACCCTTATATAGATCCTGATAGCTCCAAGCAGCAATTACGCATGTGACTCACTTTTTGGTTTTGTTAGTGTAATGTCATCAATGCTCTAAGAAGTAAATGAAATCATATTAAACAAATCTTTCCTGTAACTTCCTTGTTGATGTCACGTCACAGCTAGCAGCCAGCTTTGTCTCTCTCTTTTCATATTATTCCAGTAGTGAAACCACAGGGTCATAGGGAAATTCACTTTCTGTAACTTTATCGGTACAGTTACTGTGTAATCACTTCACCCTGCGCTTTTCCCATGTTCCTTATACACAAAGGCATTTTGCAAGAGCCCTTTGGCTGCCTGCCTGTATCAGTTGATGTAGAGGCAGAGAGGAGATGGGTGCGAGCAGTGTCTCACTGAAACCACTGCCATACAGCACTGCCTTTCTGTTAGCTTTCAGTAGCTCCTGCAGTTCAGAAGACAGCTCTTTAAAAGCACCCTCTAGAACTAGGAGAACCTCAGGTGCCTTTGTCCCTTTCTTTCCAAAGGGGATGACCTATCAGAAGAATCTCTTCACATTTGAGAACTTGTTATAGAATATAGCAGCTTATAAGAGTAGGTGAAAGCTCTCAGGGGAAAGAGAGGAGCTTTCCCTAACAAATGTGGAGCTATCTTAAACCTCCTGCTGTACCAGTGCAACCTGAGAAAGCTGCATGAAGCACTGACAGAGCAGGGCAGCTGTAACCTCCCTGGCCCCCTGATGCCAACACTGGTACCAGCTTCACTCTGCTAAATTCCACTGGATAGTTTTTGAGGCCTGGAAGCACCAGTCCATGGACTGGTTTATGATTTTTTTTTCCTCAGGGTGTGCAGTTTTGTGACCATATTACCTCTAATCTGAAAGGAAATGTGCATAAATAGGAAAAGAAGGTTGATATTTCTCACACTAGGAGAGCTCTTTATGGCTATATGTGTAGCTGAATGTGTATGGAAGTGTTATCTTGTATCCAATATACTTCTGACTGATGTGATCAGAAAAAATTTCATTTCAGAGAAAGATGGTCTATCTCTCACACAGCTGAATTATGCAGGAGAGGACTACAGTGTACAACAATGTCTGAAACAGCTACTAAAGGACTGATGCTGTCACCTACTATTGAAAACAGCCTAGTTACCAACATGTGATCATTTCTGTATGTTTTTGTACCTTACAGAAAATCAATCCATGTCCAAATGTTAAGGCTTGATTTAAAAAAGCTAAACATTTTATTGCTAGGAGTAGGTTCACCTCCTTCTTCCTCAACAGCTGCCTTTATGTCTGACTGTGGTAATAAAGTTGGATCTGGACCAGGTTCTGGGTTACAGGAGATGAGGATGTGTTTAAAACACTTTGAACTCCATGACTTCAGTGTGTGGGACTGGTTATTTCCTCATAGACACAAGAGGAATTTGAGGGCTTCACAGCTGATGGACTGTTGAGCAACTTACATATATCTTTGACTGGGCTATGAGCAAACTAAAAAGGAGAGTTTAAAGACAAGATCCAGATGAAAAAGGACAAGCTCTATGCTGTACTTCATTCTCTGCTGGAAGCTTGCCATTTCTGGTATTGTTTTTTCAAAAAAAAGTGAGAAGACTTTGAAGAACTTGAGGCTTGAATAGAAATTTAAAAAATTCAGTGAAAAGAATTTTCATTACTTCGGGCTCAAAATCAGCATGAATAAATCAAATTCTGATAAGATCAATATCAAAAAGGAACAGATTCTGTTTCTTTGGATTTAGCTGTGTGAATTTTGCAGACTTTATTGCTTTGTCTTTGTCTTGAATAATAAAAAATATTATGGGTCAGGAAAAATAATTTGACATGACATTGTAGTCATGTGACTCGTATTCAGCAGAGAACCTGTGTCTGTGTTGGAGAGTATAACCTGTGTAAACAAAGGTCAAGGAGATCTGAAGTAACACTGTAGAGACATTTAATAATAGAAGTTGCTGTAAATTCTGTTAAGGAGACTTACAACATTGCCATGAGGAGAGTAACCCTGCTCTGATCAGGAATGCTGCATAAAACTATGTGGAACTCATTAACAGACACCAGACCTTTTGAGTTCTAGAGAAAAATACTTCTGTATAAAGTAATACCAGAGTCTCCTTTGACCATGACTAGGATGAAAAAGTGAAGTAGAAATGAATGATTCAGTAGTGAATGATCACTGTCTTGGTCATTTGACTTGGGCAGAAGGCTCAGCTGAATTCTGCCCAGTGTGAATGCAGACAAGAGTTCATACAAGTCGAGAACTGCTCAAATATCTTTGTGAGTGTTTTGGATCTATCTGGGATAGATTAAATTTATTCTTAGCAGCATCTATGATGCTCTATCATCATGCTCTGGGTATTGTGAAGAGTGTTCCCACAATGTGAAGACTTTCTCTGCTCACACTTAGCTCTCACACTGTATGGAAGCGGCTGGGTGAAAAAGTGGCTGGGAAGTGACACATCCAGGACAATTCACCTGAGTTCTCCAAAGGAATATTCCATAAGATATAATGTCATGTTCATCAATAAAACTGGGCTAGCAGAAGAAGGAAGTGGAGTGAGGGTTGTCTTCCAAGGTGGTTATTGCCTGAAGGCTAGTTGGACATCAATCTTTTTGCAGCAGGTGGTGAGCCTGTGCAACACTTCCCTCCACCTCCATCCCATCCTTTCATTTATTAAACTGTGCACTTCCTAATCTCTCCCACCGTGCATGGGAAGCGAGCAAGTGGCTGTATGGATGATCAGATGCTGGCTGTTTTCTACCCACTATGATGAATATCAAGCAAAAAAGTATTGCCAAAAATTCCTGAGAAATGTTTTGGGTCACTTGTGAATTATGCAATATTGTATTTAAAAAGTCCTACCAAACAGGATAGACCTGTTTTCTTAGGATCTGCAGGACACATGATTGGTTTTGTTCTGTTATCTGGTTATTCAATTTGACTAACTAAAAATAAAATTCAAACACAGCAAATATCTTTGCAGAGTAAAATTTTTTTTTTTTGCATTGCAATTTCTGAAGCTAAGCCCTGTGATGCACAGTCCGATTCAGAATCTTCCTGGCTTCTGCAGATCATTTCCATAGATTTTACCCAAGGGGGCTCTCTGCAAAGGAGTGCCTTGGCACCTGTTATACAGGGCTGTGTATCATTTTTGCAGGCTGGGTGATGGTAAAACCCTCCAGTCATTCCTGCCCGGGCCCCTCGGCATTGCGTCAGCTTGTCTCAGGAGAAAGACAAGCCGGTTCTTCTCTCCTGTTTGGCTGGATCAAGCTGCATTGATATACTTCTCAGCAAGGTCCCACTGCTTTAGGGAAGGAAAGGCCCGAGGAAGGGATTAGATGTTCAGATTCAGCACAAACAATGTGATGACAACTAGCACATCTATGTCACTAATAGTTAAGCAATCAGACTTAACACATCTCAACTTGTGGATTTACCATCTTCTCACAGTGTCTAGAATTGCTTTGCTTTGTTTCTCTAATTACTTTGTGTTTACAATAGTTTAATTGGGACATCTTGTGGGAAAAGATACAATTATAGAGATAAGTTTTTACAATAAAAATCTTGAGTAACAAACCACAAGGGAAATGGCTTTCCTGTAAGTGTAACCTACCTGTGTGACCTTCAGACACCCTGAATTAGATTTGTCTAGATTGTCCTTTGGTCAATGACAAGTAGTCTTTTTCCTCCAGCTAACAGACATGTGGATCTCTCAAAAATGTCAGTGTAATAATTGAATTTACTCCATTTTAATAGAAGACATAACCTTTAGTTGTATGCAGTTAGTCATTCTGTCTTCCAGAAGCAATGCACAGGACATGGGGAAGGGAAGAGTGCCAGAGGTCAGTCAGCTGCATTTCACTGCAGCGTGATTTGAAACCTTCTTGGGTAGGAAAAGTTACATAACCTCCCACAGTCATCTTTCATTCATGAATTCACTTTTTACAGTCGGCTATCCCCATCCATTTGTATGTCTGTCTCAATACTTTAAATGACTGAAACAAGATGTAAACTGGAGCACTGCATGCATCTTGGCTTGATGAAATCATATTACTTAGTGTAGGAGCCCTCCAATTTAGCATTTGCACTAATGCAACTTCAGACTGCCTGTAATCCTGAAGCAGAACCCTGTGAATGAGCTGCAGAGTCCCACCTAAGACACAGTGAGCTTGTAGTGGTGCTTGCAAAGATAGGAAGAGAAGCTGTGACAGCATGGGAGGCACGCTGGGCTCAGCCTGTCCACACTGACTGTAACCCAAACTGAGGAGCAGCCAATGTCTGCAGCTCCTCCTGACTCACCCTAATGATCTGCAAGGGTCTGTACATGCTGGGACAGCATGGTGAGTTTGGGCTTTGGTGATTGTGAAGAACAGGGTTTGAAAGAGAGGACAGACACTGCAGAACTTGACATGTGCTGAGCCTCATAGACTTGTATAAGTCTCTGGAAAAGGCGCTGGGAGTATAGATGACATTAACCAAAATTTTGCTTTTAGCCTGATTTGAAAAATCTTACTTCTATACAAAAATTCAAAGGCCCTGAAATGCCAAAGAGTTGATACAAGATTTCATTGCAAATTGACATGCAGTAAAGCAATTCCAGAGGAATTACAGGCTTAGCTCCATGGTGTTATACTCTGGTACAGAAGGCGTGAGATTGAATTTGAATGTAGTCAATATAAGATCAGTGCAAAAGCTTGATTTATCTCATGTGTATTAGAACTGAGATTCAGCCATGAGGATTGCAAAAGACCACAACCAGCTGTATGTGAACACAAGTGAAAAAATTTGTACACCATTTCCTTGGAAGTTGTCAGGTTTCATCATGCTATTGTCACTATTCAAATGATTCCTGATTCCCAGCACTGATTCATGTCTGGAAGCTGTTTGCTGCTCACCACTCCACGTGTGGGACAGGTCCTTTTCTATTGCCCTGTCTAGTTTCCAGTAACTGAGTAAAAAAAGACAATACTTTGTTGGTAAATCTGGTTGTATCACTGACGTTCTCTTTCACCAAAAATTTTCCTTCC